AGGTGGCGGACGGTGGAACGATCTTCAGTGACAGTGTGCTACGAGGTCTGGCGTCGGACTAGCCGACTATCTGAAAAAACGAGACGTAAAGCCCGATGACAGGACTGCGACATGGCGACTGTGAAACCCCTTTAATAAGCTTGTTTGCCCTTTTGTGCTGTTCTTAAGCCAACACGCTAGAGGATACAAGCTCGACTGTTAGGAATCCGTCTGTATTGCAAATCATAGGGAGAAATCGCATTAATCTGTCGAGGAGAGCGTTGAGGACAGTTTTGAAAAATATCATATGAACATAACACACCCAGTATATTGATGTGTAGGGGATTCCCACAGAAAGGTATTACCGAAAAAAATATGGGGCCAAGATAGTCGTTTATAATTATTTTGTGGCCGTCGATCAACCGTTCGGTACATGTGATATTTCATGAAATGTTAGCCGAAAACCTTAAATGTGTTTCTTCGATTCGAAAAGACATATTAAGTAGGGTTATAATATTAATAATTGTAAATATCAAAAGATAAATTGGCGAGCATACGCGTTTGCTTTCGATAAATTCTCCTCAGGCCTGTACATTTATATGGTAATGCAATAAATAAACTGTGCTGATTGGTAGGAAGATGTAGAGTTGTTGTTGTCAGAGCCGGTGGGCGGGGGGACGTCATTGAGGTTTATTTATTGCATTACCATATAAATGTACAGGCCTGAAGAGAATTTATCGAAAGCAAACGTATGCTCGCCAATTTATCTTTTGATATTTAGTTTGACATTTGCTTCAGTCGCGTCAGGATGTCAGCTTTTGAACACACTTCGTTCCACCGTCTCGATAAAAATTAGTAGTTAAGGAGTATGAAATATTCCATGGATTATTGAAGCCTTTATAAATCCAACTATATTGTATAGAAAAACATGCGAAGAAATATTCCTTCTTGCACCCATTTGACAGCAAAGTACTTTTCCTAATTTAATGCTTGAAAAGAAGTATCCTCCGGTGTTTAAAAAACTTATTTCAATTCCCGAATGATTTTGAATTCAACCTGCAATTAAATCTGCATTCAGGGCCGCCAAAATACATGGTGTACACATTCTGCCTAAGGAGAATTATATATTGGTTTACATCATTGGGAAGATGTCATATAGTGCGCATAAAATGTTGCGATGAATGTAGACAATGTGTTATACGTTATTAACACCACTAATAAATGTACACTTAAGATGATTTATGAATGGACATTTCAAGGTCTTTAAAAGTCTCATATTAAAAAAAAGGTTTGATGCCGAAAGGGACCTTTTGTTCAAGCAAAAAGATTGTGAAGACGAATTTCGTTACCAAAGGTAGGAAAGAAAGAATATTTTGTGCCTGGTTTCTATGAAATATATTTGAAAGGCACCCAAAATCAACGGGTACGTTTGAGAAGCTCGCTCAAACGTAGGCATCATCACGTGACTGAAAACGCTAGGTATCGGCGTCGCAAGATAATCAATATTACGGCCGTACTTAGTCCTTGCGAAACGTAAACAAATGAATTAATTAATTTCAATTAACATTTCCTGAGTTAGTACATGTAATGTAACCCAGGAGGACCTAAGAACGGAATCCAGATTAGTTTGGCCGTGACGCTCAATTATTTTGAGTTAAACAAAGAGCCCATACACTGTAGATGAAATCGGCCATAGGCAAAATCACGTAGCCTCCCGAAACAGCGTTGTCACAGGCTGTCGAGCTGCAGCCTGTACCTGATAAAGACACGACCATACTCTGCCCTACACGAATATCAGATCGATGAAAGAGCCCCCAAGCTGAAGTTGCCTTTTGCACTTTTGTAGGTCAAATCAGCTGCTCACTAGGCAGACAAACGGTGAATTACGACCGCCATTTCCGATGATGTCCACCGTGGGCCCTACTGTTGTAACGGTAGCCAAGGCCGAAATGTCACAGCTTAATTACGCCTCTCGTGAGTCCCCCAAGGAAGAACACAACAAGAAAAGTGCAAAAGCAGAAGTCTTTGAGTGTAATAGGTACAAAATATTAAGGACAACAAACGCGTGCAAAACGATGCCCATCGAGCCAATTAGCTTCTCTCCTGACGTAGGCACCGGTACGATTGGCTGGTGACTCAAGGCTGACTGTAGCTTGAATTTTAAATTACTGACTGATTGCCTGTCAGTATGCTTCGCCGCCTGTAGGCCGATCGATAGCCTGCCGTGAGCGCGGATGCGGCCTGTATGCTAGGTGCCTGTTAGTTGGCACCTAACACATCCCCTCTTTGAGACAAATCGTAAGATTTGAGTTGCGCGTCCACCGTGGGCCCTACAGCACGTTAGACGCAGGGAGGGTGACCTGTACAGAATTAGTTTACAGTGGCAGTAGACTTGCGCAGCATTAAACACACTCTATGGGCTCGGTGTCATGACCACATCAAAAAGACCACTGGCGCAATGAAGCACAGTTGCCTGGCGTAGCGTGAGCCTGCGCTCACATGTGTCAACATACTACCCTATATGTGGCATTCTTGATGGGTGTGCACGCCAAACCGTACCTTGACGTGATCCAACCCTAGAACGGGCCACGCGGCCGATGCATTGGACCAATGAGCAGGGAGTTATGGAGTACTGTTATTTTCGGCTGGACGAGTTTGAAGTCCTCCACGCTCTTCAGGGAAATCTTGTCTGACCCAAATATGATTATTTCCTTCTTACGAAAGCCGTCTCCCTTCCTCTGAGCCACGTGCTTGTGAATGTCTTCCTCCAATAATGCGGGTCGCCCTCCCGCATTGACTCTTTTCCAGT